CAGATATCTTACAGCTGTCAGGTTCAGAGTTTTACATCAGCTCTGATTCCAAACAATGAACAGAAGATAGAAATCACTCGAGTTTACATTTGCTTTGGCAGCAGCCTGCTCGGTGTTTGAGGTGAACAGGTCACTGGCGCAGGGAAGCAGTACACTTCTGTTTTAAACACACACTCTTAAATCCTCAATTTGTTTTTTTTTCTCCACTGTATTCCTCTGTAGCTGGACCTAACTGTCATTGGGTCATTGGCTCAGACTCCTGAAACTTCACAATGACAGGTCTGTGGGTCCATTGCTACCTTCTAAAGGGCAGCTTACCGATAATGCACCCATACCCATGGTGCCCATGTCCTCAGGATATATAGGTGTTAAAAATGGAATTAACTAGAAAGTTGAAACGGGGGATTGGCACTCGGTAACGATGTTCATTTGAAGGGCTAGGGCTGGCACAGTAGGCTGAATGGCCTGTTTCTGCACCGTAGCAATTCTGTGACTCTTTCAGAAGGCTGTGCTGTAAACTTGATCCAGATTGTCCATCGAACCCGATGCAATAAATGGAAAATGCAGCTGTACAGGCACAAATCTGTACTTCACCCCTTGTTCCTGTCTTAGGGTTTTCAATGACAGTCCCTATGAGACTGAAATTCCTCTCTGCACTACCCGCCCCCCAACTCCCCCCCAACAGCAGGGAAAGGGAAGGTCTCCTTTTCATTCATCGCTCACAGGATGTGGGCACCACCACTAGACTGGTATTTATTGCCCATTCCTAATTGCCCAGAGGTCAGTTATTCATTAATTATATTCATAGCTACCCTACAGAGCATATACAGGCCATTCAGCCCATCAAGTCTGCACCACCCCTCTTATCGACATCTCACAACCCCCACACACCGCCATCCACACATTTCTCATGGCCAATCCAACTAACCTGCAGATCTTTGGACTGTGGGAGGAAACCCACGCAGGCGCAGGGAGAATGGGATTCGGTTGGAGTCGGAGGCTGGAATTGAACTCGGGCTCTGAGGCCGAGAGGCAGCAGTGCTAACTGAGCCCCTGTGCCACACATTGCTGTAGGTCTGGAGTCACATGGAGGCCAGACCAGGTAAAGGATTATACGGGTTTATCTATCAATTGATAACATTTTCATAGTCATCATTAGACTCTTAATTCCAGATTGGATTGAAATTCTGCCTTCTGTCGTGGCAGGACTTGGCCTTAGAGTAAAGCTTTAGAGTAAAGGGAAGACCTTTTAGAACAGAGACAAGGAGAAACTTCTTCAGCCAGAGAGTGGTGAATCTATGGAATTCACTGTCACACAAGGCTGTGGAGGCCAGGTCATTGAGTACATTTAAGACTGAGATAGATAGGTTCTTGATTATGAAGGGGATCAAGGGTTACGGGAGAAAGTGGGAGAATGGGGTTGAGGAAATTATCAGCCATGACTGAATAGGCAGAGCAGACTCGATTGGCCGAATGGCCTAATTTCTGCTCCTATGTCTTTTGGTCTTATGATTTGAACCCAGGTCCCCAGGACATGACCTGGATTAATAGTCTAGCATAATACCACTAGACCATTGCCTTCACTGAACTTCCTCTTAGGTTCAGCCTCACAAAAGACGTGATGCAATGTAACTAGCAATTAAGTCGCCATAGTCTTACCAGGCCACAGAGCTGCTCTCTCATTAGGGAGAGATGATTGATGGTGGTTTAACCTGAAGGCCAGCACACCTCAGACAAGGGGAGAGGTTGGGAGGGAAGAACATCCATGGTTATCTCAGCCAGTGCAGGAATTGAACCTGTGCTGCTGGTGTCACTGCCTTACAGCCATCCAGCCAACTGAGTCTAAAACTAGACACCATAGGTTTAAGGCGAGACGGGGGAGATATCAAAGGGACTAGACGGGCAATTTTTTTCACAAAGAGTGTCTGGAACAGGCTGCCAGTGGTAATGGTGGAAGTGAGTACAATTTTGTAATTTAAGAAACATTCGGACAGGTACATGGATGGGATAGGTATGGAGGGATATGGACCAAACACAGGCAAATGGGACTAGATTAACTGTGAAAACTGGGCAGCATGGCTAAGTTGGGCTGAAGGTCCTATTTCCATGCTGTAGACCTCTATGATTCTATGACTATGATGAGATTTGGGCTCCAAAGGACTTCAGTTCCAAAGGAGAATTATGTAACTCCATTTCTCTCTCCACACATACCCTTAGACCTGCTGATTTTCTCCAGCAATTTCTGTTTTTGTGCCAGAAAATGGGACTGTGAGATCAAACTGCTCTGAGGGCAATAACTCTACACTTGACAGGAAAGTTTGAGAACGTACGGAACACTCAGCAACCGAGAACAGAACAGTCAATATCTGGAGGCTCAGTGCGTTTTAACACTGTTACCTCAGGGAGAAATTAAAGCAAGAAGGGCTTTTAAAAATTAATAAATAAATAGGTTTTTAAAATGCTGTCATCAGCATGACCTTTAAATTCAATTCATCTGCTCTTGGCACTGATCCATATACGGGCCCAGTTAGGCTTTCACTCAGTAATTTAAATTTATCTCAATATTGAGTGTATTAGTAACACAGCTGACTGGTAAAAGAAATAAAGGAAATTTTAAAACAACATCAGTTGACATAGTCATTAATCCCCATACTCAACTAATAACCCAGAGGACAGCTGTACCAATGCAAAGCATAAATTCATAGACACATAGAAAATAGGAACAGGAGGAGGCCATTCGGACCTTCAAGCCTGCTCTGCCATTCAATATGATCATGGCTGATTGTCCAATTCAGTCCCCTGTTCCCGCTTTCTCCCCATGCCCTTTGGCCTCTTTAGCCCTAACAACTATATCTAACTTCGTCTTGAAAATATTCAATGTTTTGGCCTCAACCGCTTTCTGTGGCAGAGAATTCCACGGGTTCCCCACTTTCTGGGCGAAGACATTTCTCCTCGTCTCGTGATATATCCCTCAGTTACCATACACGAGAAATAAAATATCGAGTCCTGTTTTCAGCCCACCATTTGGATTCATAGTTAGAGTTAGAGTTAGAGTCAGGGTCGGGGTCGGGGTCGGGGTCGAGGTCGGGGTCAGAGTCGGGGTCAGAGTCGGGGTCAGGGTCGGGGTCAGGGTCGGGGTCGGGTTCGGGATCGGCTTCGGGGTCGGAATCGGGGTCGGGGTCGGGGTCGGGGTCGGGGTCGGGGCTAGGGCTAGGGCAACAGCCCATGCCCCATCTTGAAACTGATTCCCTTTGCCAGGACCCGCCAACACGATCCCCAAAGACACCTAAGTGATACAGCGCTGGAGTTGTACTGACCTCTGATCGGTCAACAACTCATCAAGGTGAGATTTCCTGTCTCCAAATGGTGGAAAGCCTAACTCCAACAGCCAAATGACTGAAGTTCCCCACCCTTGACCTCCTTTAGCCACGGCGATGATCCTGGCATCTCGTAGCCCCTTATTTCTATGAAAAGTTTAATGATATCACAAGTAATCATAGCAGCTGTAGGCTCCACCATTCAATAAGATCATAGCTGGATTTATAGAGTCCTAGAGTCATACAGCATGGAAACAGACCCTTCGGTCCAACCCGCCCGTGCCAACCATGATCCCACATTAAACTGGTCCCACCTACCTGCATTTGGCCCACATCCCTGCAAACCTTTTCTATTCATGAACTTATTCAAATGTCCTTTAAATGTTGTCATTGTACCCTGAATGCACCACTTCCTCTAGCAGTTCGTTCCACATACTCTGTGTAAAAAGTTACCCCTTGTGTCCTTTTTAAATCTTTCCCCTCTCATCTTAAGATTATGTCCCCTAGTTTTGAACTCCCCCCACCTAGGGAAAAGACCTTTGCTATTCACCTTATCTATGCCCCTCATGATTTTATAAACCTGTATCAGGTCACCCCTCAACCTCCTACACTCCAGTGAGAAATGTCCCAGTCTATCCAACCTATTCTTATAACTCAAATCCTCCATTCCCAGCAATATCCTGGTAAATCTTTTCTGAACCCTCTCCAGCTTAATAATGTCCTTCCTATAACTGGGCGACCAGAACTGGACACAGTATTCCAGAAGAGGCCTCACCAATGTCCTGTACAACTTCAACATGATGTCTCAACTCCTCTACTCAAAGGACTGAGCAATGGAAGCAAGATTTCTTTATCAACTCTTGCTTTTCTCCCCAATCTCCATAATCCTCAAGGGTCGCTCACTGTCCAAAAGTTAATAAACCCAACGACTGATCATGAGAGATAGTAAGAACTGTTGATGCTGGAGTCAGAGATAACACAGGTTGGAGCTGGATGAACACAGCAGGCCAGACAGCATCAAAGGAGCAGGAAAGCTGACGTTTCAGGTCGGGGCCCTTCTTCAGAAATGACCCTCCTGAAGAAGGGTCCTGACCCGAAATATCAGCTTTCCTGCTCCTCTGATGCTGCCTGGCCTGCTGTGTTCCTCCAGCTCCACACTGTGTTATCAATGACTGACCATCTCTGGGATACAAAATTGAAAAGTTTCCGATGCTACCCAACAGCCTGGGGTTGTCAAACATCACCACGGAGCTTAACGTAATCACAAACTATCGAAGCCTATCGAGTGTGTAATGAGTTATCTACTTACAGCCTTCAGCAACATGATTAACACTGAGTAACTGGCTAAAGTTGCCACTCAGTGATAAGAAACCACAACATTTTAATAAGAATTGCCTCCATATTCACAGGGCAACAGAGACAAGGAATAAACAGCCACATCTGTGGAGTTCTGGGGATAGAAACAGTTAACTATTCAGCCAGAGACATTTAGAACGGAACTGTACAAGTGTTAAACATGGATACCTCATCCCAGCAGAGTCCCTCTGATGGTACATGTGTGCGTACAGTAGCCACAAGTGGATAGAAGCCGCAATGCAATTTTCAATACATTACAATATTCCAAGACTAAATTTACAAAACAAAATTTCAGTTGAGATAAAATGGCCAAATTAGCAAACTAACCTTTTCTATTCATCCTGGCAAAGTGTTGAGCCACTGGCCAGGAAAGGACGGTCATTGCTGCTACAGCTCCAATGTGCAGGTATGGAGCAGTGACCTAGAGAAATATTCAAGCAAACACAACCGTTGAAAGCAATGGGGACACAATATCCATCAACACTTGAAATACACAGTCTCTTAAATCAACGATTTCCCCTCACCTCCCTTTATCTGTCAAATCACGTCTGCTGTCACAGGGAGCAGCACCAGAGTCATAGAGTCCCTACAGTGTGGGAGCAGGCCATTCAGCCCATCGAGTCCACACCAATCCTCCAAAGAGCATCCCATCCAGACAGCTCAACATTGGCAGCTCTCAAAACATTAGCAGGTGTCACTTTCCCAACATCACTGCAAAGTGAGATCGGTAACACGATTCCCACAAGGAGCTTTTCTTCTTGACTTGTGCCTCAATGAGGAGCACTCTCATCTATGAGCCAGAGGATTGTGGCTCCACAAGCACATTTCAGAGGTTTGAGCACAAAATCTGTCTCAAACCTCCACTGCAGTGCTGAGGGAGAGCCGCACTGTCGGAGGGTCAGCGCTGAGGGAGCGCCGCGCTGTCGGAGGGTCAGCGCTGAGGGAGCGCCGCGCTGTCGGAGGGTCAGCGCTGAGGGAGCGCCGCGCTGTCGGAGGGTCAGCGCTGAGGGAGCGCCGCGCTGTCGGAGGGTCAGCGCTGAGGGAG